AGAGAAGGAAATCAAAAGAATAAAGAAAAAGAAGTTCTGCATGGAATCTCGGGGGTTGACGTGTCTTTCCTGAGCTCGGAGCCCTTTTTTCTTGACGACCAGAACGAATCGTCACAAACACCATCACCACGGGAGACGAAGCGATCTCTGCAAAACGCGGTCTACTGGCCAAACGGGTCAAGTAGCCAATCATGATTTGATGCGTCCAAAGAACGCCGCGTGGCCTCGGGCTTACCCGAAAGCCTGGGTCGGGCAAGGTGGATTCTGCTGGGGCCTCGCCGAGCTCGGGTTTTGGACTGCGCAGACCCGGGCCGGGCTCGGGCTAGGACGTTGACTGTCCTAGGTCGGGCCTGGGCCCGTGGTACGAGGCGGTGATGGCTATGGTGTCCATAGACTCAACGCCTCGGTCATCTCAGCAACATACAAGCAGACGAATGTGCACTCATCATTCACTAGATAATTTCTTATTTGTAATTGATTAGTGCACTTCCCTTTGTCTTGAGAATAAAAAAATTCATGGTAGGAGCAGTAAAACTCTGCATTATAGTGGCACTCATTTATTTCCCAATTAGGCACATTTGCAGCTTCGCAGTTAACGCCTAGTATATGTTCTTTTTGTTATTCATACGGGGAGTTTCATTTTAAATCAAACAGAATTTTTAAAAACTGGGGGTGCCAGAAATCTGCTTGTAATGTGCGTTTGTAGAGCTCAGCGGAAATTACATTGCAGGACAGCCACTACAATAGGTCGAATAACCAAGCGAAGTCTTACCCAACCCAAAAAGGCGACAACAAGCCCCCTCGGTGGGTGACTGACAATGTCACTTCCATTTCCCTTCTCAATTTACTTTATTTAGTTGTATAATACAATTTTCTCGTAAAATAACTGTTTTATCACCCATGTCGCGTTAGCAGTTTAAAAGCAAGTTATAATGAAAGTCATTATGCAACACTTCGCGACAGGGCAAGGGGCTTTTAGATATTCATGAATCAATTTTTGCCTTCTTAAACTCTGAAGGTCCGATTCAAAAAAACGCCCTGTGCAGATAACAGCACGTGAAAAAGTAAAGGGTGGTTCACATATTTTTGTTGACTGCGTTGGGCTTTACAGCTCAGCCAGAGGCTGAACGAATCACGGATCGCGTGATTAAAACAAATCACGCGGTATGTATAACGTCACATTTTTATTTAAATTTTACTTTCTTTATACGGGCACGTAGCTCTCTAAATTCGTGCACCACGTAGTGGTGTTTAAACTCGTCTTCAAGTATGGGCCCGGGATGGGCCGGACTCGGGCAGGCTCTAAACGTTGCGGACTAGTCCGGGCTAGGTACACAGATGTTGCTAGGGCTCCGGGCTGGCCTGGGACTAGGCTTCGAACCCCCGGGTTGTGCTCGGGGGGCTAACTTACCAAGATGCCGGGCCCGGGCCAGGCCGGGCCTGGGTTCAGAAAAGCGGCCCGTCCAGTGCCCTAACGCGTCCAACCAACCCACAGAGGGTGAAGATCTTGTTGGGCATCCATGCTATCGTTGTCTGGAGCGCACCGGCGCCTAGCTGATACGACGTCGCGAGTGTGTCGCTGGCACAGCAAAGATTAGGCTCTGTGACAACACGTTTTCCATCACACATCAAACACAAAACCAAAGGAACAAGGGCACAGAGCAAAGTGGCATCGGCTGGGCGACTACAACGCTACCCAACTATACACGACACCGCGGGGTGTGTAAGTTGCCAGCGCGGATAACACCAATGTTTTTGGTTGCAGTGAGATTGTGGACAAAGTGGGCGAAGTTTTAAAAATGGGGAATAATTTTCTTTTTTATATATTATGTAATTTGATATATTTTAAGTTTAGTGGTAAATATTTCCTGCTGAAGCAGATATGTTTATTTTGCCCAAAACACATACCTACCGTCGTGTCGTTGTACGTCAGGTCACAGGGGTCGGGGTGTAATTAATTGTTGTGGTACGAGCGGGGGGGGGGGGGGGGGGGGACGATCCCACGGGACCCTCGGGACACGTACAATGCGTTGGGGGAACGATCCCTCGGGACCCTTGGGACCCGTTCAATGCTTTGAAGAGAAGGACCCAACTAGTCGATGAAGAAGTCTTTTGAAGAAGCAACATCTCAGTGTATGAAGTGAAATATATCGATGCTTTTAGCAGGGTGTGGTTCTTCGCGGATATATCTTTATTTGTAAATCGTGAAACGTGCTAGTGTGCTCCGTCAGAGGTGTTGAAAGGTAGGTCGCGGGTGTTCCAGCTAGCTATTCTGAATGGTTTGGTGGTTGTCTCGCATTTCAAGCGCGCGACGCTACGTGTACTATGTGCCGCACCAACGACCGTACACACTCCCACTTTCGTGTTCGCAACGCAGAACGTTTCTGTTCCCTGTGTATCCACCTTCAATATCGTTCTCTCTCGTATTGCCGTATGGTAACTCCTGCTGTTTTACGATATCATTCACGCGATGTCGTATGTGTTGGCATACCGATATCCACATGTTGCTTCACGAACGCTCAATATTGTGTTATGTTTCCTTAGTCCGCGGTATATGCCGACATAATTCATGTTGTGACTTGGTATCCGTTTCGAGATGGCTTTCGCCCTGGTCGAAGCTGTGAGACTGCCCTGCTCACTGCTGTTCACCAGATCAGTGACAGCCTCGACAACTCTACGCTATGCGAACTGGTGCAGCTCGACTTTACCAAAGCGTTTGATAGAGTAGACCACAAGCTCCTGATAACCAAACCGGAAAAGCACCGGTATCGAGGGCCCCCTCCTTCGCTGGCTATCGAACTTCATCCTGCAGAAACAACAACATGTGACGTTCAACGGGTCAAGGTCCCAACCTCGAACCGTTCCAACTGGAATCCCCCAAGGCACAGTACTTGGTCCGACCCTCTTTTCAATTTTTATCAACGATATCGTCCAGTTATAGACTCTGCCACCATTATGTATGCTGATGATCTCACCCTCCTTCAACCGATTGAATTTCAGGAAGACTATAATCAACTGTAACAAGGCGTTGATCAGATCCAAGCCTGGACGATCAGAAACAAATTACCCCTGAGTGCATAAATCTTGTACAATTCACTTCACCACAAAAAGGAGAGCACACAATCCACCAGTAATTTTAACTGTTATTGGAACTCCATTGGAACGAAAGGAGAGCATAACCCTGCTGGGTGTCACCCTTGACAGCAAATTTAGCTTCACTGCACACGTCCACTCTGTCGCCTCACGCGCACGGCGGATGCTGGGATTCGTGCAAACTACAAGTAAGGGCCTGGGGCCTGCTGTGCTGGCGCAGCTGTTCACTGCGTTGCTCCTGCCCCTATTAGAGTATTGCTCGCCTATCTGGTCGCCACAGGGGGCCTCAGCTCAGGCGACACTAGAGACCATCCCGCGGCGAGCAGCTTACGGCGACTACTGCCGAACCTGTCCAAGTCCTCGCGTTTTGCCACGTGACATCCCGACAACCCAACTCTTGAGAGCAGCCAAGTGAAGTACACTGTCCCACCAGCGAGATGTAGCCACCCTAGGGTTGCTGGCTTAGGTGATTGGTCCTGGGATCCCGCAGGACGACTACATTCGCTTTGTGCCCCGGCGCAACGAACGAACCGGGCGCACAGACCCTCTCTTCGCGCGTACCCAACGGCATGACGACTCATGTCTCCTCCGGGGTGTAAGACTTTGGAGATCCCTGCCTGACGCCATCACCAGCCTGCCCATCAGAGACAGAGACGAGGTGACACTGCTCTGCAAGGCAGCAGCCAAACACCTCTAAACCAACACCCACGAATGTCTGCGTACCTCACCATACGTCAGCCACCTCACTTTTCACCCTCTTCACCATCTGTGATGGTTTTGTGGAAGGAAGAACGTGAAGGACGAAGTGACGGGTGCGAAAAAAAAGGGGCGTGAAGAGCACGAGCCGCGACGTTCGGCAGCTGCTTGAAGGATCTGACCGGCTGTGTCCCGGTATCGACGACGTGAACCAGAACCCCTCGCTACGCACGGTGTGAAGGGAACAGCGGAGGCATGAGCATCTACGCCACCTCAACACCGTCCCTGGACTGAGCGTCTACAGAAGCCAGGAACCAAGCCTCGTCACGACATATGCCGGTGAATCTCTATGACGATAGCCCCGTAGTTCGAACTGCGCATTTCTTTCTTGTGACTTTACTTGTAGTCTTCTTACATTTTTTTCCTTCCATACTGATATTTCTTTTGTGTGTGCAAATATATGCCCTGTTTCTTTTTTTGTAACTCTCTGTCTCCCGACCCTTTTCTTACCAACCCCGGACGAGCCTGTGACAATTTGGCGAGCCTGCCAGGATGGCGCGGCCCATTATATCCTTGTTCCTTTTCCTGGAGGTGAGAGAGGAGACAGAGATTTGAGACTGGTGCATTACTATGGAGCTCGATAGAATAATCGCGGCAGCTAAAGAATTGGGGTATACTGAAGACGAGTTTAAAAAATGGGTTGATGAGGAGAGAGCGCGTGGGAGAGCTGAGAGAGCTCAAGAGCGCGATAACGCTAGAGAGGACCTTGAGGCGGCTCAGAGAACGTTAGCGGCCGAAAGCGCTAAGTTGGATAAGGAACGAGAGGTCCTGCAGTTGAGGATTGCGGCTCGTGAAGGGGGAGGTGAAGGTGCCGCAAATTCGGAAAGCGGCCGCGGGAAGAGTCAGGCCGAGGGAGTCACGGAAGTCCCCACAAACTGATTCCACAGTTCAATGAACGAAGGGACAATCTAGATGCCTATTTGCAGCGCTTTGAGCGTACCGCAACAGGGTGGGGTTCGCCAGTGGAAAAGTGGGCCACGACTTTAGGCTTATGTTTGACAGGAGAGGCGCTGACGGTGTTCGGCCGACTGACACCTTAAGATGCGCTAGACTACGCCAAGGTCAAGCTGGCGCTGTTCCAGCGATTTCGTTACACTAAAGAAGGATACCGCGAGAGGTTTCGCGACGCCAAACCAGAGGACGGCGAAACGATGAGACAATTTGCTGCGCGACTGGCAGGGTACTTTTATAGATGGCTCGAGATTTCGGGAGTTGAGAAAACGTTCGAATCACTGCGAGACAATATTCTAGTGGAACAATTTTTCTTGACATGCTCAAGCAAGCTGACGGTCTTCCTGAGAGAGCGCGACTGTCAAAGGTTGGATGACGTAGCAGCTAAAGCTGACCTCTTCTTGGGAGCCCAGGTGCAGCATAGCACGGGTAAGCAAAAGCGAGACGAGGCGACAAACAGGCAAGACGCTGGAAACGAAGATAAACACGCAAGGGGTGGTCTCCGAAAGAGTATCCGCTGCTTCCTTTGTGGGAAGATTGGGCACAAGGCAGAAAACTGCAGAAGTAACGGCCAAGCTATGAGGTCACTGACATGTCGGGATTGCGGCCGTAGTGGTCACAAGGCAGAGAACTGCAAGGGAAGGCAGAGCGAGAAACATAAGGCGTCGTGCTTGTACACTGTGCCAACAGATAATTGCGAAAACGCCGACGATTCCTACGTCACCCTGGATAATGGTGACAAGATCCCGGTAGTGAATGCGGTCACGGGGAGAGCCCCGAAATTTCTGTCGGAGAACATGCCGGTAGTGGAAGGACCACTGGGAGAACACAAGATAACGGTGTTAAGGGACACCGGCTGCAACACCGTGGTTGTTCGCAAAAAACTAGTCCCTCAAGAGAACCTAACTGGAAAGTCGAGTCCAGTGTTTTTATTAGGTCGAACAGTTCGGTACCTGCCGGAGGCGGTTATTGTGATACGAACGCCCTACTACACGGGAAAGCTAACGGCGAAGTGCGTCAGTAACCCCCTATACGACTTGATACTGGGAAACATACCGCAAATGCCTGAGGCTAATGACCCTGACCCAGAATGGGAAAAGAACAATAAAGACAATCTCGGCGACTGCCTAGACAAGCCGAAGGAGAGATACGAAACGTGTTCGAACGCCATCGGAGTCAACGTGGGCTGTCGCAGGGCAATGGAAGCAACCAAGAGCATCGACGAGCTTCCGGATGAGAAACCAGCCGTAGCTGCGTCAGCGAGCGAGGGGAGAGAAGCTGGAAGACCAATAGGAAAACTAAAACGCCCTCTGAAAGTCGCGCAGGTGTCAGTAACCGACACAACAGCCGAGGAACTCGGAAAGCAGCAGAAAGAGGACGCTACTCTTACTAAGTGTTTCAACAATGTAGGGAAGACAACGAAGAAACACAATCCCAGGACAAGGATTCAGTTTTTGCTGAAGAACAACCTGCTATACAGGAGCGTCGTATACTCATCCCGCAGAAGATCAGAACAACTGGTTCTCCCAAAAAGGTTCAGGGCCGCTGCTGTAACTACGGCACATGACAGCGTTACGTCCGGACACCAGGGGGCGAAGAACACCCTTAATCTGGTGGCGGAAGGATTCTTTTGGCCATGTATGCAAAGCGAAATCAAATGGTACGTTCGTTCGTGTGACGCGTGCCAACGCACCGTACCCAAAGGCAACGTGGGCAAGGCCCCCTTAGGAAGCATGTCAATCATCGAGACACCTTTTCAAAGAGTCGCGATAGATATCATCGGTCCTATAGTGCCTATCGCAAGCTCGGGGAATAGGTATATTCTTGGAATGGTTGACATGGCCACGAGGTATCCTGACGCAGTAGCGTTGAAGAGCATTGGGTCCCAGCAGGTAGCCGAGGCGTTGGTTCAGATGTTCGCGCGGTATGGAGTACCGGCAGAGATCCTTAGCGATCGCGGCACCAACTTTACCTCTGAGCTAATGAGAGGTGAGCCGGCTTCTATCGATGAAGCAACTTTTGACCACACCCTATCATCCCATCAGCAACGGCCTGGTCGAGAGGTTTAACGGCACCATGAAGCAGATGCTAAGGAGGATGCGCAAAGAAAGACCAAAGGATTGGGATCGATATCTCCCAGCTTTGCTTTTCGCCTACAGATTGGTGCCCCAGGCTAGCCTCAGGTTCTCGCCATTTGAACTGCTATACGGGAGAAGAGTACGAAGACCACTGGCCATCCTCAAGGAGTTGTGGTCGAACGAAGCCCTGAAAGAAGACATGAAGACGGCATATGGATACATCTTGAAGCTAAGGGAAAAAACTAGAGGAAACATGCAAGCTGGCGCACGTATGCCTGCATGAAGTAAGGGAGAAGTATAAGGGATACTATGACAGGAAGAGCTGCAACCGAAATATGAAGCAAGGAGACCTGGCGCTCATTCTGCTCCCCACCGATCTGAACAAGATGATCATGCAATGGAAAGGTCCCTTCCCCGTAGTCGCAAGAAAGAATGATGTGGATTACGAGTTAGACGTAGGAAGCAAGAAGAAGGTGTTTCACATCAATATGCTTAAAAGATATGAAGAAAGAGAAGGAAGTCAACAAGGTAGACAACATTGCGGTATGGCAATGGATTCTCAAGAGAACGATGAAGTCGCAAGCGAGCTAAGTTTTGAAGACACAGAGGGAATTCCTACGCCAAGCTGGACGAGGCAGCAAGGATGGGAAGACGTCAACATAAACGAACACATGGAACCTCAAAAGCTTGATGAGGTACGAGAGCTGATTGAGGACTTCAAAGATATTGTTTTCGAACCTTCCAGGCAGGACGAGTCTGTTGACCTGTGACCTTCAACTGACCACGTCCCGACCAATACATGTGAAGCAGTATCCACTGCCGCTGTCGGTTCAGGAAACAGTCAAGCAAGAAATCGACGAGATGTTGGAGCTGGACGTGATTGAGAGATGTACCTCATCGTACAACGAGCCAGTGGTAATAATAAAAAAAAAAGACGGATCAGACAGGTTTTGCATTGACTACAGGAGGCTCAATGACGGGGCCAAGCCCGATGCGGAACCAATACGACGGATCGATGTCACGTTTGCTAAGGCGGGACAGAAGCGCTTCTTCTCGAAGCTCGATGTAGCAAAAGGGTACTGGCAGATACCTATGAAAGAAGAGGCCAAGGAAAAGACTGCCATCTCTTCGACGAGCGGGCTTTACCAATTCAAGGTCATGCCCTTTGGTTTAAGAACGGCTTCTGCGACATTCACGAAACGGATGCGAAAATTGTTAGACGGCATCCCAGATGCACACCACTACATCGACGACACCCTGATCGCCACAAGCTCGTGGAGAGAGCACGTTGATACGCTTCGCTGCATTTTTAGGCGCCTGCGCGAGGCTAATATTACCGTAAAGCCAAAGAAATGTGAAGTGGGCTTTCTAAAGAGATCGGCTTTCTGGGAGACGAGATCGGAATGGGGAGGATAACACCGGACACTAAGATCATTGAACGGATTCAAGACGTACCAAGACCGCGAACGAAGCGACAAGTAAGATCGTTCCTTGGACTCACGGGGTTCTACCGCGAGTTCGTAGAGGACTATGCGGGTCTTGCCGCGCCGTTAGTAGACCTCACCAGAAAAGGAGCCTGCAATGAGGTTGAGTGGGGGCCGGAGCAAGAGGAGGCCTTCAATTAACTAAAGACCAAGCTGAGACGTCCTCCCATCTTGTTGGCGCCAGACCCCGAGAAGGAGTTCGTGCTAAGGAAAGACGCGTCTGACGTGAGTCTGGGTGCAGTGATGCTTCAAGAAAAGGATGGAATGCTACGTCCCGTGGCGTACGCCAGTAGAAAGCTCAGCACCGCAGAAAGGAACTACGCAACGATAGAAAAGGAATGTCTGGCATTGGTATGGGCCGTTGCCAGATTTAGGTTGCTTCTGTACGGCAGAACTTTTCGAGCTCAGACCGACCACCAACCACAGGAATTCCTAAACAAAGCTAAGCATACAAATAGGCGACTGATGAGGTGGAGTATGGCTTTGCAAGATCATAGCTTTCACGTGGAATACATAAAGGGCAGGGATAACGTGGGAGCAGACTTTCTTAGCCGCATTTAGACGTTTATTTTTCTTTTAAACTAAGATTTTTGTTAGGGATAGCTAGTCGAGACCCCGAAGAGGAGGGGTTCCCTCAATGTACATATCTTTTTGTGTTGTATGTGTGCCAATGTCTTTCGTCAGACTTAAGACGGGGCCTTTGCATATGTGTGTGGCTACAGTGAGTTCTCACAAAAGAAATACTCGATTTGAATGTGGTTGGACAGGGCCCTCCGGCCAAGTGTGGTGCGGTGAAACCAGACTTCGTGGCAAGGTCATCGAGAAGGTCGTGTCGTGAAAGTGTCGCGTAGGAGGATTGCGGGGGTGGCTTGTACTCGGTGACGTCAGGATGGAGTGCTCGGAAGTACCAGGCATCAAGAAAGAAACGTTTATGTTATAAACTTCTTGAAGTTAGGGGGTGTCATGGTTTTGTGGAAGGAAGAACGTGATGGACGAAGTGACGGGTGCGAAATAAAAAAGCGGCGTGAAGAGCACGAGCCGCGACGTCCGGTAGCTGCTTGAAGGATCTGACCGGCTGTGTCCCGGTATCGACGACGTGAACCAGAACCCGCCGCTACGCACGCTGTGAAGGGAACAGCGGAGGCATGAGCATCTACGCCACCTCAACACCGTCCCTGAACTGAGCGTCTACAGAAGCCAGGAACCAAGCCTCGTCACGACATATGCCGGTGAATCTCTGGGACGATAGCCCCGTCGTTCGAACTGCGCATTTCTTTCTTGTGACTTTACTTGTAGTTTCTTACATATTTTTTCCTTCCATACTGATATTTCTTTTGTGTGTGAAAATATATGCCCTGTTTTTTTTTTCTATCTCTCTGTCTCCCGACCCTTTTCTTACCAACCCCGGACGAGCCTGTGACACCATCCCATCATCATCACCCCAGACGTCTCAAGCCAAGAAGCCTCACATGGCCATCATCGTCTAGCTGGTCACATAGGCACATATGTGTACAAGTGGAAACACCTTCTATGCGACCTGTACTTAAATGTACAAATATCTATATATCTATCTATATATCTATATGCACGCTATATCATATTGTATTTTCATTTGGGCCCGTCATCGAGAACCTATATGTATGTATCATGTGGCCGTACTGTATGTCCTTGTCGGTCACCAATATGCACGCGATGTCGTATTCTGTTCCAATAATCGCGTATTATATCGGGGTATTGTGCTCCGATATCGTGTTGTAAACAAATAACCGCACCTTCTGTCGGGATATGGCGTTCCGACATCGTGGTGTGCACCAATAACCGCAAGTTATATCGGAATATTGTGCTCCAATATCCTGTTGTATACCAATAACCGCATATTATATCGGGATATTGTGTCCCGCTATGAATTTACATCGGATAACAATAAGTTTTTATTAGTTTCCATAAACTTCATTGGAATACAATATTTTCAATAAGCCGAGTTTATGCTGGCCATTTTTAATAGGGTACTCAAAGATATTGCTACTTGGATGCAAATCACAAATCTTTCTGGCAGTTTCCACGGCCTAAGAGCCAGCAGGTGCCAGTTTGTTTTTTCTCAAATGTGAGAGTTCCAGATTCGCTAGTTTGGTCTGAAGTAGGAATACAGATGCCAGACAAACGATAGAGCATTTTTAATTCACGGAGCTCAGAATGACTGGGTCTCCCACATTGAAGCTTATTTTTTTTTGTAATACACGCGGGTGTCATTGACGTGTGCCCAGTTACGACGCAAGAGGATGTCTATGTCCCGCACATGTAATTTTGAATCTTTCTGACTTAGTGTACTTGCTATTTTGACGCAACTAAAGGCAAGTCTCTCTTCCAGTTTCCACGGCCTACAAGCCAGCAGGCACCTGTTCGTTTTTCTTCAAAGGTGAGCGTTCCAGATACTCTAGTTTGGTACGAAGAAGGAATACTGAAGCCAGACGAGCGGATACATATATTTGACTGACCGAGCTCAGAATGACCCAGGGAACTTGCAGTAAAGCTAATATTTCCGCCATCAAAGCGGACATAATTTTGAATCTATCCGGGTTAGTGAGGAATTCCTACTTGTCGCGAACTAATCACAAAATTTTATCTTGCTGTTTCTATGTGGCTGCAGCTAGCAGGTGCCGCCATTTTCATTAAAAGGTGAGGATTCAACATTTTGTTTTCAAACATAAAGTTTTTGAATGAGGGTTCTAAACAATCAACTTTATTTTGCCGTAAATGCCGGATCCTCCAATTCAAGATTATGTTAAATATATTTGGTATGGATGAGTCCATTGTTTGGCTTCTTCATTCATAATTTGACAACAGCAACATTGTTTTTAATCACTCAGAAAAACATACAAGGAGATGTCATGTTGTACGTGATATTCCAACTCGTGTATAGTTTTATTGGTAGCAGATATATTGGGTTCCAATATCCATGCAAAGATGTTCCAAAAGCCGGGAATCATGATTAAGAACAAATACCTCCGACTTGCATAACAACACCAACAATTTATCAGACGTTTCGTCTCCTATGCACAACGGCCTCTGCCGCTAGCATCCTACATATCTGGTGAGGGAACCCCTTAGCAGCCTTAATGCATGTTTTCATTTTCCCATTACCCGCTTCAAAAGGGAAGGCCGAGTGTGCCCACAAAGGGCCCCAGAGACGAACACTCTTCACAATATGTTCCATCTGATGGACGTTAAACGTCATGCTGTCTTCTTCATAGAGGAGCTGAGTTTTTACAACAAACTTTAGTATGAGAAGATCGCAAAGTTCTATGTCTACAGAAGAAATATGTTGTTGCAGCATCAGGTGCACAGCTTCCACCAAAAGAACCCAGTGGGCAACATACTTTGTTGGCAATAATTCATGAAGCACAGGAATACTATAATAATTCATGAAAGCCCAGCAACTGGAAAGCCCAGCTTTCCAGTTCCTGGGCTTTCCCGAATATCCGCTCCCTCAGCAACCTCGGCATGCTCCTTACATCTCTTGGGGGTTTTAAGGCCAGAAGCCTACTGTCCATCCTGTCAATTTCTCGCCCAATAGAGAAATCTCTGTCGCAGCAATCGAGCCAATGCTCCAAAAACTGCCTAGCCACACCCAGCAAGACGCAGTGTATGTAGTCTGGGACAAAGCCCCAGACTATGCTGGAGTGCTCCACGTTAATGAGCGGAGAAACGGTCTTGACGCCCCGCACTACAGTACCAGTTTCAAAAGCCTTCTGCATGTCATCATACATTTGGTCATCAGTACGCTCATCGGGATCCACTG